CCTGGTAGGGGTGGGGTAGGAGCCGGGCTGGGGCCCCCTATAGCTGTGGGGGCGGGGCAGGGTTGGGACCTCTATAGGGGAGGGGCGGGGTTGGCTAGAGACGCCTATCGATGCAGGGGTTGGGTAGGGCTGGGTCCTACAAGGCTGGGGGGGGTAGCTCTCCCCCCCCTGCGTTAACGCCTTCCCTGCCGGCTCATCGCCGCTCCCAGCAGAGCTGCTCTGCTGGAGACTCCCTGCATGGAATGACTGGCCGGAGCCGCCTGCGGGCGGCGAGACCTTGGCTGAGACTAGGGTTAGGGCTGAAGGGGCTCCGGGATTCCCGACTGGATCAGGCTCTTCCTCTCCGGCAGGGGGACCCAGGAGTCCCGGCGCCCAGGTCTCTGCTCTCGCCGGATCGATGCAGCCCCTGGGTCCCAGGCCTGGCTCCGATGGCATGGGCACGACTCAGGGCAGGGGATGCGGGGCACGTGCTGTGCAGCCCCGATAGGGGTCGGGGTCGGGCTGGGGACCCCTGCAGGTGCGGGGAAGGGCAGTGGCCTGAAGAGACCCAGGGCCCCTCCTCCCGCCGCGACCGGGATGGATTTGATCCTCCTGCATTAGACCTCTTGGAGCTGCAGCTGCAACCCAGGAGTCCCGGCTCCCGGCACCCCGCTGACCCACTGGCTCTGGGTGTTGAGGAGGCCGACGCGGGGCTGGGTTAGGGTTGGCCCTGCTGCCCCCCACCCCCGCCGATGCGAAGCGGGATCCCGAGGCTTGGCCGGGCCGGAGGCGCCACCGTGCGGCCCAGCGCAGCGGAACAGGGGCACTCCTCCCCGCCCAGAATGAACCCAGGAGTCCTGCCCCAGGAGTGGGGTTGGGGCCTCTGTTCAGGGTGAGGGCCACAGCCTGGCCCAGGTGAGCCAGGAAGGGCAGAGAGGTGGGGGCCAGGACGCCTTGGCTCTATCCCCTGTCTGGGAGGGGAGTGGGCTGTGGTGGTTTAGTCTGGGATGAGGGGGGTGGGGGTGAGAGTCAGGACTCCTGGGTTCCCTCACTTTGCTTGGTGTGAGGATGGCTCATGGGGGAGGGGGGGAGGGAGGAAGTCCTCCTCTAGGGCAGCCATGGCTCTGGGGAATCTCCCACTCCCCAGCCCAGGATCAGGGCTCAGGCCTTGTTCTGATACCCCCTGCTTAGCATGGCCTGGCTGCCCCCTCCCATGTCAGACAGGTGCCCAGTCAGCTCCCACACCCCAGGGCAGATGGAGAGGGGGTTGGGGAAGCTTGCCTCTGTAGCTTGCCTCTGAGGTACCTGCCTGGTGCCAACAACAGAACCCAGGAGTCCTGGCCAGACCCCTCTGGCACTGCTCCCTCCTGCCAGGACAGGGGTCTCAGGGAGCCACAGCAGCCTCTGAGCACCAGGCTGCGGGGGAGGGGCACCTAACCTGAGCAGTTGGGGGGGCAGGAGGGGGGCGGGGAATGGGGATAGGATGCCTGGGTTTCGGGGATGGGAACCCAGATGCCTGGGTTCTTCCCTCCCAGCTAGGGGAGAAGAATGCGGTGTATTCAGCCCCACCCCCACCTTTTCCATGGACAGGACTCTGGTTCTGTGACAAGAGTTTTTATTAAAGTGTAAACCCCACACAGCCGGGGTGGGCATGGGTAAGGGAGTGGCTCCTCCCCCAGCTCGTGCCCTGGAGCACCAAGCTGCCCCCATCCCCAGCCCATCCCTGGGTCAGCCCCGTCCCGTCAGCGCCAAGCACCCCTCCATGGGCAACTTGTGCCCAGGGGGGCAGCAGAAGGGGTTCAGGTGGAGCGGGGCAGGGTGGATGCTCATTCTGCCTTTGCTTTGGCACTTGGGAGCTTGGCCTGAATCCTGGAGGGGGGCAGAGACATGTCACATGCAGGGGCATTGCCCTGCCCCCCTGGGGCTCCCAACCCTGTTCCTGCCCCCTGGGAGTCCCTACCCTCATCCCTGCCCCCACTGGGGACTGTGTTACACATGACCCCCCTCCTTCCCCCCTGCCAGCTGGCAGGGCAGCCCCCATGCACTAGGGGTGCTGTTCTGGGGGGGAGGGCAGTGCTGGAAGCCCCCCCCCCCCACCCCTCCCCTGTCTCGCTGAGCACTCACTTGGCTCGGAGGTGACTGAGCTGGTTCCTCACCAAGCCCACGTACTGGTCGATCTGTGCCTGCAGGAGATGGACTGGGGGTGAGGCAGGTGGGGAGCCCCTGGAGACCCCCTCCCTGTCTGAGATAGCAGGACACAGGGCTAGCAGCCTGTCTCCCCCAGGGACACTGGCATTCATCTGCCCTCTGCTTCAAGGCTTTCTCCCCACCCCATGCCCCACCCTGCACATGCACACATGTGCACACACTCACCTGGTGATGCCGGTAGAGCACAGGGAAGGTAAATGCACTTATCACACCTGGGGGAGAACAGGACCATCAGACTGAGCCATGCCCCCGCAAACCCTTGCTTTCCCTGCCTGGGCCACTCCCTACCCTGCCCTCACACAGCTCCCCCCAATTTGCACACAGCCCCAGCCAGACCATGCCACCTCCTCCCCCATGGTTCCCTTCATCCCTCTCCCACTGGGCCCAGATGCCCCCCTGCCCCTGCCTCCAGTGCCCTCTCACCCATGAGCAGCAGTGTCAGCCCATTGAACACGGCACCCACGTAGGTGAGGATGTAGAACAGGAAGGCGAACTGAGAGGGCAAGATGGGGGGTCAGCACAGCTCCTCCTACCCTGCCCCAGGGCCTGTGGTGGGGGTTATCCAGGGCCTGGTTGGGGGCAGGATCAGGCCCTGGCACAACAGCATGGGCAGGAAGGGATGGGGCTGATACCAGGGTCTGGCATGGATTCAGCCCCAGAGGTGGGATTGGGGCTGTCTCTGCCCATGGGGTGGGTGTGAGGCAGACCACTTGAGCAGGGTGTGGGGCCCAGGGCAAAGCAGCCTGTGCGGGCCCCCACCCCCAGACACAAGGAAGCCGGTGGCAGATTTGGCAGTGAGGAGGGGGGTGGCAAGTGGCTGGATGTGAAGCCAGCAGCAGTGTGGAGTCACCACACCGTGCTGCCCCATCCAGCTCTGTTCCACCCCCCAAAGCGTCGGGATTCACACCCCCACCCCTGCCGGGACAGCCCTGGTGTGAGGTCACAGGGGGCAGCCTGGGGGTACGTCCTGAGGGCAGTTGACCCTCCCAGAGGTCACCGGGGGTTACTGGGGGGCAGGGGCGAGGGCACCTTGAGGGAGTCCACGAGGTCCTCGACGAGGAAGAGGTGGCGCAGGGTACGGGCACCAGCGGCCATGTGCTGCCCTATGCGCTCAGCCACATGCTCCAGCTGCTCTGGGGACAGCGACACATCTGTGTCCAGCAGGGGCCTGCAGCAGGGAAAGGGGGTCAGCAACAAATCAGATTCTACCTCTGCCCCCCACAGTGACCCCTGCTGGGGGAGCCTGGGGCTGGAGATCAGGGCAGGGGCAGAACTGGGGTTGAGTGGCTGGGGGTCCCCATGTAGTAGCTGGAAGGGGGTGGAGGCCCCCAGAGACTAGCTGATGGCGGTGGGGGTAGGGGTCCCTGGAGACTTGCTGGGAGGTGTTGGGGGGGAGGGTTCAGTGTTGGGGTCCCGATTCTCACTGGAAGGGGTTGGGGCGGTGGCCAGGCCGCAGGGCGCCCAGCAGCATGTGGTAGAGCCGCAGTGAGAGGGTGATGCTGAGGGTGCCCAGCGCAGCCCAGGCGCACACAGCCACAGCGCTGAAGTGGGCCAAGCAGAGCAGCGCCAGCACCAGCCCAGTCAGCACCATCCCCGAGGCCCGCACGTCCCGCCACATCACCAGCTCCAGCACTGGCGGGGGGAGGGGCAGGGTCAAGGCCAGGCACCCCCATGGCCCCTGGCCCCTGCTTGGCCCCCCATACTACCCCAGCACCAGGCTCATCCCCCACATCCCCCCCACCTCCCCTCAGTGCCCAACAGCCCCCCAAATGCCCCCACGGCTCCACTGCCAGGCTCAGCCCCCCCACATCCTCTCCACCCCCAGGCTGCCCTGCTCAGCCCCACCCACCAGCACAGGTATCTCCTCCAGGGTCCTTGCCCCACTCTAGGCAGGGCCCCAGCTCTGGGACAGGTGCCTGGCAACTGGGCCTGGAAATGGCAGGGCTGGGCTGTGCACCAGTGCCCACCCAGCTTTCTCCTATTCTTTCTGCACACCCCGACCCAAGCCTGGCTGAGGGGGCTGTCCCTTTAAGGGCCCCAGGGGTCCCCACCTCCTGGGGTGGGGGGCAGCTAAGTTTAGCTGCGGGAGGGGGACAGCGCCTGCAGCTGTCAGCTCCCCTCCCCCACCCCTAATTGACAGGCCCAAGTGCCAGGCGGGGGAGGGGCAGGCACCTGGGGGGGTCCAGGGCCCTCCATGCTGACCCATGGCCCCTCATCCCCACCCCAACCCCCACCCCTACTCTTTGGCCCCCAGGCCCCTCTCCTTGGCCTGACCCACTCTAGGGGGGCCACAGCCCCCTCCCCCCACCTCCCTGCAGCCCTGTCATCCCAGCACCCCCCCCCAACTTTAGGGCCACAAGCCCCACAGGCTAGACCCTGTCCCACCTTTGCCGCCCATTGCGATGCAGCCTGTAGTGCCCAGGCCAGCTCCTAGCACCCACTCCAGGCCCCTCAGCCCCTGGTACAGAGCCTGGCCCGGGGGCGGGAGGTGGGGAGGGGCCCCAGGGCTATTTATAGCCAGCCAATCCTGGCCCTGCCTGCACCCCCTTGTGGGTGGGGGGCACAGAGCCGCAGGGTGATCCCTGAGGGGCCAGGCCAGGAGCCTAGAACCTGGGGTCTATCCTTATGGACCCCCAACTGCCTCTGACCACCGTCACTCATGTCCCCTCACTTCCCCATCCCTTGGCTGGGATGAGAAGCCAGGCCTCTGGGATAGCCAGCAGTGGGGCTCTCTCCCCTGGCAGTGTCCCAGGGTGTTGTTGGGGGTGCCCTGCAGCAGGAACAGGAGCAGCAGGAACCCAGGAGTTCGGGCCAACACGCACCCCTGGTTCTGCCCACCAGCCCCACCCAGCTCCTGTTGTGGCCCCAGCGCTCCCAGACACAGTTGCATCTTGGGGCCAGGCATGGCCTCGAGCCACGGGGCCAGGGCATGGCAGGGGGGCAGGGACTGCCTGTCCCCAGGGGGCCATGATGGCAGGATGAGGGGCCTCTTTGGGCATTGTGCCAGGGCTCCCTCCTCCCCTCCCTGCAGGCAGCCCTGCTGCTGGATCCTGGGGGGGGGG